ATTAACAATCAGAAACTATACCTCATTAACAATCAGAAACTATACCTCATTAACAATCAGAAACTATACCTCATTAACAATCAGAAACTATACCTCATTATTAACAATACACAAACTATACCTCATTATTAACCATCAGAAACTATACCTCATTATTAACCATCAGAAACTATACCTCATTATTAACAAACAGAAACTATACCTCATTATTAACAAACACAAACTATACCTCATTATTAACCATCAGAAACTATACCTCATTATTAACCATCAGAAACTATACCTCATTATTAACAAACAGAAACTATACCTCATTAACAATCAGAAACTTTACCTCATTAACAATCAGAAACTATACCTCATTATTAACAAACAGAAACTATACCTCATTATTAACAATCAGAAACTATACCTCATTATTAACCATCAGAAAATATACCTCATTATTAACAATCAGAAACTATACCTCATTAACAATCAGAAACTATACCTCATTATTAACAATCAGAAACTATACCTCATTAACAAACAGAAACTATACCTCATTATTAACAAACAGAAACTACCTCATTAACCATCAGAAACTATACCTCATTATTAACAATCAGAAACTTTACCTCTGATACCTTACTATACCTCAGTATATACCATTAACATATAACAATCAGAAACTATACCTCATTATTAACAAACATAAACTATACCTCATTATTAACAATCAGAAACTATACCTCATTATTAACAATCAGAAACTATACCTCATTATTAACAATCAGAAACTATACCTCATTAACAATCCTAAACTATACCTCATTAGTGTAGTGTGTACAGAGCAGTGTGTACAGAGCAGTGTGTACAGAGCAGTGTGTACAGTGCAGTGTGTACAGTGTAGTGTGTACAGAGCAGTGTTTACAGTGTAGTGTGTACAGTGTAGTGTGTACAGAGCAGTGTGTACAGTGTAGTGTGTACAGAGCAGTGTGTACAGTGTAGTGTGTACAGAGCAGTGTGTACAGAGCAGTGTGTACAGAGCAGTGTGTACAGAGCAGTGTCTACAGTGCAGTGTGTATAGCTCAGTTTTTATATTGCAGTTTTTATGTTGCAGTCTGAAGATTTTCCAACCAAAGTTCAGACTCTGATGTTCCTTCAGTTTCACAGTCGTAATAAAAGTTTCATGTTCAATTCGACCGTCAGCTGAAAGTGAAATACAGAAAGAGACACACGTCTGTTAGTGTTCAGATGAAGATTTATATCCAGCTTTCTTCTTCTGCAATGCTTTAAATGCTTTCCCTCCATCAACCAGCCCCTATGAATCAACAACAACAAGCAGGCAGGTTTTACTTTCAACATTTTAAACCGACCTGACTGCTGTCTGCCCTCAGTTACATAAATGTGGAGATTACTGGAGCTTCTTAAATCAAACGCTCCCTCTGAAGAAGAAGCACATTGTTGAGTGTGATGAACGGTTTGAAGACACGAGTGAAGAATTGTTTCTCTGAGAGTTCACGGCATATATCAATAAGTGAATAAATAAATGTTTAGAGCACCGGCAGCAGTGATTGGAGAGCGGCTCCCTGACATTAATAAATGATGAGTAATAATCAGGTCAGCCTGAGAGAGGATCTGCTGCAGCTCTCGCTTATTTCAGCTCTCAAATTGAAGAAATGTCCTCACTTTGATGTTCGTGCTGCCTTCAGGCGCCCTGCTGATGTCACGGTCAGCCGGCTGCTCATTGGTCCGTGAAAGATAGTTTCTGTCCAATCGGAAACTTTTATTGTGCTGGTGTCACGCTTCAGGTGGCTGCTAATTAGGCCATTCAAGAAAAAAATACTATTCAATCAAAAAAATCCAATCAGAAGCTCCCAATATACGGATGTCACGGTCAGCCGGTTGCTTATTGGTCCAGAAAGAAACATCCAATCACAAGCTCCCAATATACTGATGTCACGGTCAGCCGGCTGCTTATTGGTCAGTGAAAGATAGTTTCTGTCCAGGTGGAAACATCCAATCAGCAGCTTTCACTCTACTGATGGCACGTGTCAGGTGGCTCCTTACTGGTTCTTTAACAAGAATATTTAGTGTCCATTCAAAACCCTCCAATCAGAAGCTCTCATTTAGCTGATGTCACAGTTAAAGACATTAAAGAAATGTACTTTTCACTCAGTCATCCAATCGGAAGCTTTCATTTTGCTGTTTCACATGTCAGGTGGCTGCTTATAGTTCGTTTTAAAGAAATGTACTTTTCACTCAATCATCCAATCAGAAGCTTTCATTCATGTCAGGTGGCTGCTTATCGTTCCTTTTAAAGAAATGTACTTTTCACTCAATCATCCAATCAGAAGCTTTCATTCATGTCAGGTGGCTGCTTATTGTTCCTTTTTTAAAGGTATCTAGTGTCCAGATGAAAACATCCAATCAGAAGCTGTCATTTTGGTGATTTCACGGTCAGCCGGCTGCTAATTGTTTCGTTAAAGAGAACATTTAGTGTCCATTCAGAACCCTTCAATCAGACGCTCTCATTTAGCTGATGTCACGGTTTGGGGGCTACTTCTTCTGAGAAATGTACTTTTCACTCAGAATCATCCAATCAAAAGCTTTCATTCTGCTGTTTCACATGTCAGCCGGCTGCTAATTAGTTGTTCGTTCGTTAAAGAGAACATTTAGTGTCCATTCGGAAACATCCAATCAGAAAACTTGAATTCTGCGGATGTCACTGTCAACTAGCTCCTCATTGGTCACAGTCACATGAATTCTAGTATCTGCAGTTCTCTGACATCACTTCCTGTCCATGTTCAGGTCCGGTGACGAACGCTGTCATCATGGCGGCTCCAGCGAACATGTTCCTCCCCGACAGTCGTCCGGCCGTCCCTCTGCCGAGGTTCAGCCGACACCTGCAGGCCTCTGAAGGGGGCGGGGCCTCAGAGGTGTGTGTCCGCCCCGCGCTCTACACACAGGTGAGGGTGGACTCTTATTCTGAAAGGTTTACAGGAAGAGACCTATCTGCAGAAAGTTTGAGACTGAACCTCTTTTATTTTTAAATGTTTCCAAGAAGGAGGGGAAGACGTACCTGCAGAAAGCTTTTATTTTGAAATGTTTACAGGAAGAGACCTACCTGCAGGACCATTATAGACTGAACTCTTATTTTGAAATGTTTACACTAAGAGGAGCAGACGTACCTGCAGAAGGCTGAAAGACTGACTTATTTTATTTTGAAATGTTGACAGGAAGAGGAGCTGACGTACATGCAGAAAGCTGATATGCTGAACTTGTTGATGAACGCTGTGACAGACAAGGTAAGAAGGGGCGGGGCTTCAGGCGATCATGTGACTCTAATGTTCGTCAGATTGGAGAGAAAAAAACAGCTAAATGTCAGAGACAAAAATATAAAATGTCACAGAGAGCCCGAAGAATGCCTGCTCACTTTATTAACATTAATCAGCACTATTATTATAATCCCTGATTATTTGTTATTAAATATTTATTTTGATATTTCAGTCGGTGTACGGAGACGGGGAGAACACGAAGGTTCGAGTCTCCGAGCTGGAGGAGGAAGTTCAAACTCTGAAGAAAGTCAACAAAGATCTTTACGAGTTCACCAGCCAGCTGCTCACCAAACCCACATAAACACACACTGTGACACACACAGACACACACACACACACACACACACACACACACACACACACACACACACACACACACACGGATTCACACACCCCCGTAAACACGTGCACACGTTAAAACCGTCTGTGATGATTTTGTTTTTATAAAATAAAATGAATTTGTTTTGGTAAGACTTCCTGTTTGTGTCTTTGTTGATGTGGAAATGTTTCCTGCAGTGAGTGAATGTTACACAACATTACAATGATGAATTAAACTTGACCTCATTATTAAACTGTACCTCATTATTAACCATCAGAAATTTTCCAATTTACTATCAGAGGATTTACCTCATCATTAACCAACTTTACGTAATGTGAGCCTCTCCGCTCACACAGTAAAAAGGCGATGGAAGGAGACAGGGTGCAACCACACAGCGTTTATTGTCCAAAAGAACACAACATAAATATCAACGTGGCCAGTGCGGGCCTTTATGGGTCTGTTTCCGCGGCCAAGAGCGTCCTCCAGGATCCAGCCTACTGCAAGACAGACCAGAACCAGTTTACCACATGCTTTTATCCAGTGAGTGATTACCTGATTCTGATCAGCTGTCTGGTCCCTGGCCGAGCCACTCCCATCACTCCAGCAGCCAGCGCCCTAATCACACCCCGCTGCCACATCATTATTAACAATCAGAAACTTTACCTCTGATACCTTACCTCAGTATATACCATTAACATATAACCATCAGAAACTATACCTCATTAACAATCAGAAACTATACCTCAGTATTAACAAACACAAACTATACCTCATTATTAACCATCAGAAACTATACCTCATTATTAACCATCAGAAACTATACCTCATTATTAACAAACAGAAACTATACCTCATTAACAATCAGAAACTTTACCTCATTATTAACCATCAGAAACTATACCTCATTATTAACAAACAGAAACTATACCTCATTATTAACAATCAGAAACTATACCTCATTAACAATCAGAAACTATACCTCATTATTAACAATCAGAAACTTTACCTCTGATACCTTACTATACCTCAGTATATACCATTAACATATAACAATCAGAAACTATACCTCATTATTAACAAACATAAACTATACCTCATTATTAACAATCAGAAACTATACCTCATTATTAACAATCAGAAACTATACCTCATTATTAACAATCAGA